ATAAAAAAAAAAAAAAAAAAAAAAAAGCCTTTATTTTCTTAACCTAGAAACAAAATCAACAGCTAAGCTCCCTTTGATATTGTTTTCCTTTGTAGTTTTTTGCCTCTTAAAAAATAATGTGGTTAGAATTTTGAAAATATTTGTAGAGAGATAATAAAACAATAAAATAAAATAAAATAAAAAATGAGAAAGGAGACCTAAGAAACTCAAATTCTAATGGGTTTTTGAAAATAACATAAACATTTTAAGAATGCTTCAACCTCTAACTCTTATATTTTTCGAAACCTTTTAAAAGAAATATAAAACATGTAACAACTCAAGCCCATGGTCAACGAATATTGTCTGTTTTGGCTTAATACATATTGCCGTCAGACTCACGATATTAAAACACATCTGTTAGAAGAGGTTTCCACACCCTTATAAGAAATGTTCTCACAAAATGAAATAAGAAAAAAAGGTTTACCGGAGTGCTATCGGTTCGTCCATCATTTCTTGCACCAAATTGCATGATATTGAACACATTTTGGGTATAACATTTAGGAATGCAAAGTAAAATGGTAATGAACGCAAAACATGCAATATGCCATGAATTCAAACCCATTTTTCTCTCTTCTTCTAGGATGTCTGGTTTTTGCTCTCTACTTTTCTTCATTTTTATAACAAAATTTTAACACCAAAAAATGGAAGTCTTTTCCAACTCAGATTTTATTCTTTTATTGCAAAATCATTACATTTTGAAATGAATGAAGATTTTAAGGAAAAATATCACTCTTATCTTCCTTAAATTTTCCTTGGTTTAATATGATTATTCATTTTAATACATATATGTTAATCAACCTTAAACATAGGGCTAATGGCTTTAGAGATAAGGAAATTAGAATAGAAATTATTTAAGCATACAGACTTGTAATATTTTTTTAAAGTAGAGACGCCACTGTGACTTAAATACTCCTAATATTTTTTAAAATTGTTTATTTGGAAGGAAAAGAAGTCTTGCTTACCTCAACTACCCTCAATAACGTCTAAAATGGCTTTGGGGTCAAAAACTTGAGAAACAGTATAAAATGTGAATATCGAGCCATTTAGGTCGTCAAGTAGAAACGCCAAGCCAAGACAAGATGAGCCGCAATTCGAAGCAAGACACGTGCAAGGCACGTGTAGTGCCGAGGGGACATGGGTCGTCACTCAAGTCAAGGCACAGACTTTAAGTCAACAAGCGAATCGGGCTTCAAGAGTTCAGTCTAGGCAGTGAAAGAGTGGATGGGCCATTTGGTCGTGGGTCGTACGCTTCTGGATTGGGTTGAAGTAGGTTGCAAGTGGGTCCATGGGTCAGACCCGAGTCTGAGTGTTCAACCCGTGGATCTCTTCTTCTCAACCCGACTCTTGATGATTCTCTCGATGGTCGTTTATGACTTATCTCTGACGGCGCCTTCTTCATTCAATAACGCTATCAATGGTGACAACGACACTCCTTATGATCTGCTACATCCACTACCACGTCGAGGCTTTCTCGAAGAGTAAGAAATTACGTCATCGGCGTGAGGATTCTCTTTCTCTCTATCTCTTTTCTCTCTCGGCTACACGTGTAAGTTTTAAAGTGAAGGCGAGATTGTGCTGGTCATGGAGGGTGTGAGTTGGGAGTTTATGGAGGGGTGTGGAGCAGTTTGAATCTGCGAAAATAGCGCCTCGCCAGATATCTGGCAATTTTCGAGGTTCGATTTTTTTTTAAATATCTATCTTTACATTATTCCCTCCTAGAGAGGACATTCGTCCTCAAAAGTGTCTACATTAAGAAATAGTTTTGGGTATTTCTCCCTCATTTTGTCCTCCATTTCCAACGTAGCCTTCTTTATTTGCTGGTTTCTCCACAACACTTTGACAAAAGCGATGTCCTTGGTGTGTAGAGTCTGTACTTCACGTGTCAAGACACTCACTGGTCTTTCTTCGTAACTCAAGTCTTTTGCCACCTCCAAGGGCTCATAATCTATCATATGTGTGGGATTGGTCAGATACTTATGAAGTACAGACACATGAAATACTGTACGCAACGAGTCTAATCTGTACGCACAGATGAGAGGGACAATGGTAGGGCTAATCTGTACGCAACGAGTCTAATACGATCTAAGATCTCGAAGGGTTCAATAAAGTGTAGATTCAACTTGCTTTTGCGTCCAAACTTTAAAACACCTATCATTAGGGTCACCTATAGGAACAACATGTAGCCCACCCCAAGTTCTAGGCTCCTATGCCCTACATCAACATAACTTTTCTATTTACTTTGAGAAGTGCACATTCTCGCCCTCATCTTTTCACCACCTCATTGGTAATTTGAACTAATTGGGGACCAACCAATTCTCGTTCTCCTACTTCGTCCCAACAAAATGGAGTCCTTCACCATTTTTCATACAAAGCCTCGTACAGTGACATGTCAATAGTTGCCTTAAAGTTGATGTTGTAGGCAAATTTCATTCGATGTAATTTCAAGTGCCAGCTACCTATGAAATCTGATACACAAGCATGTAGTGTATCTTTTAGGATCTGGTTTATAAACGTTCCATTTGACAATCTGTTTGTGGATGAAAAGCCGTACTAAAATCTAGGTGAGTACCTACCCCTCCTGAAGACTATTCCAAATTACCAACATAAAGCGTGGGTCTCGATATGATATAATTGACACACGAACTTCATGTAGTCTAACAATTTCCTTCATGTATATTTGTGCCCAATTGTCCACGGTGTAGGTGGCTTGTGCCCAATTTTCCACTATAGAGGTAGCTTTACTAGGAAGGAAATGTGCTAACTTTGTCAATCTATCCACAATTACCCATATGACTATGTTGTTGGATGTGGCCCAAGATTGAAATAGGTCGAAACAAATAATTGAAGTAGAAAAAATAACGTGAAAGAGATCTTCTAAATAGAAGAATCTTAAGCACTTATGCTCGTTATTTCTACATATTTCAATGCTGGGCCGCATCCAACATTAGTGATTTACCCCTTAGGGTTGACTTCGATTGATTTTTCTTATTTTTTCCTATTTTCTTTTATATTTTTCTTGATTTATTGGGTTTTGTAAGCATTTTTCTCTTCTATCAAATCTTTCAATTTCGCCTCTAATACCCTCAATAAAATCATGAATGTTAGACCATAAAAGAGAAAATCAGGTTTTTTAATTTCTCGTCAAAGCTCAAATTGACCGGTAGCCTCCTAGTTACTTGAAAACTAAAGGCTATCCTAAACCTTGTCATGAGGTAACATCTTCATTACTTAAAAATCAAGTATGATCCTAGAGCTCATCTTAAACTCTCGAATTCTTCATGAAACTTATTGGGGAGCTTATTAGAATGTATAGGAATTGGATTGAGGGAAAATGGTTAACTACAACTTCTAAATTTTGGAAAACTAGAGAATAAGGAAACTCATATCTAAAGACTTCTACCTCGAATTTTAGGAACTTTTAAGGCTGGATTCTGGTTCTAAATGAAAGCCAAGAACCTCATATTTATAAATGAAGCCTTCGACTGACTTTGATTGTTCCAAAGTTATATTAATTTGGGACTTTGAGTTTTTTAGAATGTTCATTGGAAATATCTACTTTGACAAGGGGTTTACCGACTTCATCCTTGAACTCAATCATTGGATCTAAGTGGTCTCAAGTCCTTTAGATCATATTCCTTAAATCACCTAATTAGGCCCTTTGTTCTTACTTGGGTTATCTTAGTTCCTTTTCTTCGATCTTTTTAAACCTTATCTATATATTTGTCTTAGGTTACGGTTTACCATATTTGTCTTTTTATTAAACGCAAATATATTGTATTCATTTATTGTTATTTTCATATTATTTGTATTTACTATAATTCTCTACAAATATTTGGCGTGGAAAGCAGCCGATCAACGGCTTCTCTATGTAACGACCCTAAATTTTCACACACTCAAAATCGCTACTAATATCTCATGCTCATCTATAATGCAGAAGTATAACTCTTACATGAACATCATTTATAACGTAAACTTTACAAAACGCTTAAAACAACTTCTTCTCTAAAAAATACACTCATGGTTTTACGTGTTTAAATACGAAATACTGAAATTTAGAGAACTTAAAAACAACAAAATAATTTAAAATGATGAAATGCATAACAACCTATTCTAACCTAAAACTAGAAATTTAAATATGAATCTACCCTATGCACGTGCCACAGTCTTTGCTCGTGATGTCGTTGTCCTCCGTACAAGTGCGTCTTGCCTTTAGCTAAAAAATGATGTGGCACACGACCTGAGTATTTCAAATAATACTCAATAAGTGGCCCCACTATAAGTGGCCATGCAAATGCAAACACATGCAATCATGATTTAGGGACCTATCTCTAATCATCTTAGGAGTGGCCTCCAGTCTCGGACAAATTGGATGTGTAGTACTTCCCTACACATGACTCACACGTGTGAGTGTGAATCTCCAGAGCACTCGCACACTCCTTGGTCCCTCTGGTCAAGCTAATCTGTAGCGACGTCCGGAGGTCAGCGGAACCCCATAGTGTCATGCACCTCATGAACACCCTCATCTGTGCACATTCGCACTCGTGCGCATTTACACTCATCATCATATTGTGTGCATCCGCACTCATCATCATATTGTGTGCATCCGCACTCATCATCTCTAGGGGAGGTAGCCCTATGCTTATGAACATACAATATGCATGGGTCATTCTAAATCCATCATAATGTATCTTCTGACATAATCCTCTAGTCTCATCTCTTTGTTACTCTAGGTAACACATACTCGTGGATATTTGTATTAATATCATTTTCATGCTCTTAGAGTTGTGTCATATGTTGATCTAACGACATGATGCAATATAACACTCATCATCATATAGCATGCTCAATAACGAAAACATCATCATATTAAGGTAAACGTCACACAATCATCATACTCATCATATTGCCATAAAGTGCATCAAACATATCAAGTACGTCATTCATCGAAATATATATGTACTACGCACATCATTAAGTATCATAACTCACACATCGTCATAACTCATACATCATCATACAGTCATACATCATCATAGCTCACATACTCCATCGTACGACACAGTTCATACATCATCATAACTCACGTAACTTTTTTATCTCTTTACTCTTAGTGGTTAAATCTGCTTGAAGGGAGGCTATTTCTAGTTTTTCTCTCCCCAAATCTGCAATCTTTTTGTTTTTGTTTTGTTTCTTTTTCTCATTTTCTCTTTCCAAATTTTTTTTTTCTTTTTTTTTTCTTTTTTCTGCTTGCAGCTAATCAATAGTAGGTGTTGGGTATTGGGTAGATATTTGGGGAAGGTGGAGAGAATCATTTATTTATTTTTTTATTATTATTTTTTATTATTAACTTATTATTATTATTATTACTATTACTATTATCATTTTTATTATTTTGTTATTTTTTAAAATTTTCCAATTGTTACCTTATATACCCCTAAAAAAACTTTCGTCCTCGAAAGTCTCCAACTT